AAAAAGTTGTATTTGGCCATGTTAATTATGCAAATTAGCTAATTGAAAATGTTCCCCAAAGTTGGCGTTGTGCCAACAAAGCTAAAAATCTTCCAGACATGGATATGAATACATATCAATAAAAAAACCTTGAACTATTAAAAATTTCTTGGTTCACTATTGAAAGGATACGGCCCGCAACTAGACTATGTGTGGCGCGAACTGACGTCGTGTGTGAAGCCACAGGCACTTGGAGCGTTTCAATAAAATATAATGCTAAATATATACGAAATCTATTTACTGCCTGTTATATATCTCGGGTTCTTGAGGCATTCGAATAAAGATTCCAACGACTGTCTTACTTGTTACATAATATATTGTTGATATAAACTTGATTAACACAGACGCAGTTACAACAGCATGTATAGTTTAGAGTCCCGCCATAAGTCTCTATGCTCGACTAGTGGCGCCACATCTTGGACGTACAAAGAATAAACATTACTTTAAAATTTTGCAATTATCTTACATCTCCCTCCCTTACAAGATCGTATTAGAATGCATAACTATAAACGAGCAACATTGAACAGTATGTTACTAAACGAACAACAGTATACTCTATTGAATTACAACCGTTAGGCCAACCAAAAAATTACCTTTGGTTTGGGTCACCCGCCCGCACTTCACATTTCGGAGTAAAAAATGTGCGACTGCGGTCACTTTTAGAGGGTTTCAAGAAAAAATAAAATAATAAAGTTCAAAGATACCGCCTGCCGATCATACATATTAAAATATCCGACTCTTGCCATTTTATTTACCTAAAGAGATTTCCAAAATATTTTTCCTACAACGTGAAACAGTCGTATAGAGCCTGGGCCGGCTACTTCATAAACAGAGCCTGAAGGTCGTATGGCGCGGCGCCTGGCTTTGATGTACGCGATCGATCGCGTACTATATAGTACACACTTCGGTTACTCGCTCATTCAAATTATATTCCTATATTCCTATATTTAACGTGTGAAAAAATATATTATATTCCTGCCTACCAATGTTTTTGCAGAAAAAAAAAATGTTATACCTACCTACCTACCCTAATTTTCACAATCCATGTGACCCGAACCAAAGGTATTTTTTTGTTTGGCCTTATGGGAGGTCTTACACATAGTCACTAAATCGTACAGGTGGTTTCCTGTTACGTCCAGACCTTCGAACTGGTTCAGGAGTGGACAGTCTTCAGACGTGACATTCATTATATTGTCACTGTTGTCATTCATGACAATAGGATTGTCATCTGCACAGTCAGTCAGGGTTTCGAGTGTTGATGGTACTTCAACGGGCGACTGGATGGGTGGCAGTGCAGTTATTGCCTTCTCGTAGATCTCCGGCTCTGTAGCTTCATGAGTATTCGTCTTTGGAGTGATTGGTGACCATTTCGACGTTCCTGCAGTTGGTATCATGGTTGGCGGGAATCTACGTCTCAGCATAATTCGATTTCTCACAGTCAGTAGGCCTGATGGAAGACGGATAACATACTTTTGATTCTTGAGGTTACGCTCTTGCACCACACCGTATTTATATACCCCATCTTCTGTTACACCTGTTCTGTACTAAGACAGGATCACCTACACTGAGGACAGGTAGGGGTTTACCAGAGCAGTATTTCTCAGCTTTCTGGCATTCACTGGATACCAACTTATCATAGTCGGCTAGTTGTTTATGCCAGTCTTTGCTCAGGGCACTCTTGTGTGCTGGAATTACTTCATTCACCAGGTGTCCATATGGGTGTACCGCAGGGGCTATCCCTGTACTCTTGTGGGGTGTATTCCTGATGGATAGCAGACCACGAGTCCACTTTTCAAAATCCACCTTACCATTCGTCACACAATTGCTTAGTAGGTGCTTTGCCTGTTTTACCGCATTTTCTGCGAACGCATTACTCTGCGGGTAATACGGGAATGAGGATATCCATCTCGCTCCCCACCTCACTCAGAAGTCCTGGAACACACTTGAGGTGAATGGTGGTCCATTATCAGTGTATAGCACTTCAGGCACTGCTGTGTCAGCGAATATCAGTCTTAGCTCGTGGATCATGGAATTAGCATCTGTTGAGCGCATCTCACGAACTATGAACCAGCCAGATAGCCAGTCGGTGACTATTAGAAATGTGCGACCATCAAAATCAGCAAAGTCAGCGCTTATGAATTGGAACGCTCGCTTTGGGATTGGTAGGTGCATCATCGGTTCCTTTGGCTGGCTAGGTAGGTCCTTCTCACACTGGTTACAAGACTGACAGAACTGTTCTAACGTCGCATCAATGTGGGGCCAATATACTATGAGCCTTAATTGCTCTAGCCTTTGTAGCTTCTATACCTCTATGACCAGCATGAAGGTCCTTTTTCGTCGGGTACCTAGAAAATGCATCAGCCATCAAGTTGGTTTTTTTCTTTGATGTATTTGACTTCCATATCAAATTCATGTGCTTGCATTAGGCAATGTCAAAGCCTCGGCTTGGTGACTTCGTCTAGTCGTCGATTGTTTGTCATCAATACAATGGATTGGTGATCCGTGTACACTTTGAACCTAGGTACCCCAACAAAGAACTTAGACGCCTTTCGTAATGCCCACGAGTGCTTTCATCTCGGATTCGATTGGCATGTACGTCTTCTCAAGTTCAGTTAGTGTACGGCTGCCCACCATGATTGGTTTCCATTCCTGGTTTCGTTGCTTCTGTTTCAGGACAAACCCAAAACCGGACTTGCACGCTGCATCAGTGTATAACTCGACGGGCTGACCAGGCAAGTATAGTATGCGATCGAGCCTACCCGGTTGTACTAGCATTTCTTTGCGGAATGCCTGTTTTTCATCCTCTGACATCTCAAACCTTTTGGCAGATTTTCTGAGTGGGTGTCGCAGGGGGGCCAGTTTGCCTGTCAATTCTGGATCGTATGGCCACATTTGGTTGGCTAAACCATGAAAGGATCGCATGTCTGTTATGCTTCTAGGCTCAGGAAATTCTCTGAGTGACTCTATCAGCGAAGGGCTGATGGTAAATCCATCATATATATAATATACGATAAGTACACATAATTTTATTTTTCACCAAATTATCAAAATTTAGGACGGTAGTTAATAATAATATGCAACATCATGAATTTTGCACCAAGATATAAAATGATTGAATAATCAACTACCATCATAAACTTCTATACATTGGTTGTGAATTAAAGTTCATGAATTTCATCTATCACAGATATCGCATGTACATATAAACATTTTATTTAAAGGGTTTCCACACAGAATTTATAAACCATCTAAAGAGAACTCATACAATCAGCATGACTAACAAATAATAATAATATACAAGCGATTTAATGTCAGTCCAGAAAAGTAACTGCAAAACTGAGTAGAATGACAACATTGTTAAAGTAAAAAAACAACTTGAACATCACACCCAGATGTGTTTCTGCTCAAAAGCTGACCAGCTCATTATATATTCAACATAATCTATAAAACAATAAAGGAATCCTGCATAAAATCAATTTTGTTTTGGCCTTACTTTGATATATCTGCGACTTGGCCAACGCAAATCGCAACTGGCTTGACGAAGTCACGTCCTTTCACGTTATAAAGCTTGTTCACAGCTCTAGTGTCTTGTGCTAGTGTAGCAATGCCATAGACGGTGTCTGTAGGAAATGCGACCACACCACCTCTCCTCAGAATATTAACTGCCAACAGCAATTCACCTACGAAATCTGGAAAACACGAACACGTAAAGAGGTGACTACATCTGTAAACCTGTTTAGATCAGGTGTCACACATAAAATTACGTAATCATCTGTCCAACTCCAGCTCCCTCTCTCTTCTCCTCGATCTTGCCTCCCCCTCCCTTTCTGCTATGTCTGTCCTTTGCTGTCTCTTTTTGTCTCTACGCAGATGTCGTAATACGAATATCACGTAATGTCCAAACGTGTAATCAACAGCGGGTGTTACAGATAGCCAGTGTGTGCCGCGCTTGCCGCTAACTAGTGCGTACGCTGTATGTGCATTATGACCAGCAGCAGTGTCGATTGATGTACGAACCCGATTGTTTCATGTCTGCTGTTAGTCCAGTTGCAGAATAGCGAACCAAGAAATTTTTAATAGTTCAAGGTTTTTTTATTGATATGTATTCATATCCATGTCTGGAAGATTTTTAGCTTTGTTGGCACAACGCCAACTTTGGGGAACATTTTTAATTAGCTAATTTGCATAATTAACATGGCCAAATACAACTTTTTAACTAATAGGCTTAGAATCATGTGTGATAGCTCTTTTCTATATAGGGTTGACCCAGTGAATCCATTTCTGATGTTACTTTCGCGATTAAAGGTCAGGATCAACCTATAAAGTCAAGGTCAAGGTCACTTTGGCTTAAAATTACCCTAATTTCACTTACAACGGTAACTGACTGAAAATTATGTGTTGCTGTGAAGGTATATTGAGTCCCCGTATTGATTGTTGATGATAGTAATGATTATTATCATTGT